TTGGTTTTTACAGTATACTTGCTCAAAATTAAGTTGGACATTTTTGCCCTGGCCTACCCTACATATTTGTCAAAGAAAATTATCTCTGATCCAACTGTCTATGATATTATCTAATCCTTTACACATTTCACGGATTTTATTCCACTTTACGCCAATGTCCTGTAGAACTTTGGTATAAGTATTAAATATAAATGAATAGCTTAAAATATAATTGACAAGTATAAATATTCAATATTTCTATAGCTCCAATCTTAATAATGCATTGGCACATAAAGTAAGATGTGATGAAACATCATCATGTAATCAGAACAGAGTTGATCACGATCCAACTTTATTGTTCAAAGTTTCATCTTCTTCTAATGAAAATTTAGTACTAAAATACTAATTTCAAACTAAGTAAGTCAAAACTATAATAATCCAAACACATCTGTGATCCATTCTGATGACTACCATTCGTCCGTACGCTACTTTCATATATATTAACAAAAAATTAACAAAAAATTATTTCGAAATTGAAATAAAAAAAATTAACTTCTAATTTTTTGTTCACTAAAATCTAATTATTTTTTCACACACTCATCACAAGCAAAATATTTTTCGAATCATTCTAATCGGATGTTCCATTCTCTCGAAAACTTGATTTCTATTTTCTGCACTCTTTGCTCCATATCTACAAACCGCTAGACTTGTCTTTGCCAAAAACTAATCAGCACGTTTCCCTATCAATAGGAATCGAATGTTTTTTGAATCATTCTAATCGGATGCTCTGTTCTCTCTAAAACTTGGTTTTTATTTTCTTCGCACTTTGCTCTCTAAACCGCTGTACCCACCATTGCTAAAAAGTAGTCAGCACGTCTTCCTATTAATAAGTGAATTCATTCCCCCAAATTGTTTAAATGTATAAAAATGTAAGTGGTACAAATAGTCGAAAAATTGTGTCCACACAAAACGCACACATTTATTTATGTCAAGGTATGCCAAAATGTTCAGAAACCTCTGAAACGTAAAGGTTTTGCCATTCACCTCACTTTTCCCTAAAATTCAATATATCCATTGACAACTATATACAATTTCAACAAAAAATAATTTACAACTATGATTATTATTAAAACTCCAGAAAAACATTTAAAAACATATTTATCAACTTCTTCCAAACAAATCACCTTTGATCGAACATCAGCACCGGCATTTACCCAACATATTCCAATCAAATTTCCGTAGCTCTCTATTCATTTTACCCCATTTTCCTCTACAGTTTCAGTATGTGCATTTGACATAGATGAATAGATAGCTACAGAGTGTAATCGACAACTCTGAATCGGCAACTATGAATGCTGCCAACTTGTATAGGATCATGTAGGAATATCTCTGCCATACTGGCATAGTCCTTTATTAGCAACGATACAAGGGAAGCACGTACACATTATCTATCGTATATATTTCTATAATGTATATTATATATTATATAAAGCATTTCTACATTTCGTATCTGCAAAGGAAAGATGCTGCTACCATCTACTGGAGGGATGAATTTAGACGTGAGGGTGGTTGGGAGAAAGGTTATCAGAGAAGCCTTATAATTTTCATAATTAACTTCCCGAAGGAGAAGTTTATGTTTTCATCAAAAAATCCGATTCTCTAATTTTATGTTTTCTCGACGTTTCAAGCCATTCTGAATCGAATGAGAACAAATTTGGAAAAAGTATGTGTGTGTGTGTGTGTATGTGTGTGTGAACAGATTTTTTGCTGTAAATCGACGTTTTCTCGAAAACGGCTGGGCCGATTTCAAAAATTTAAAAGCCATTCGATGTATCTCGACGAGTACTATCGTTTGTCAGTTTTGTGGGACGATCGGCCGAGAGGTTTCTTTATAAATAGCAGAAAAGTGAAAAATTTTTCGTGCACGTTTTAGCCCGCAATTCTGAACCGATTAAGAAAATTCAAAAACCGTTCGAAAGATATTGATTGGGAATCGTGCTGATTAGTTTTTGGTAGAGATCGGCCGGGCCGTTTTCTTGTAATGAAGTTTTTAAAAAAAAAATTTCGACGATTTTCATAATTATTTTTTTGACGGTAGATACCATAGTCTTCTAGATCATACTAAAAAATTACGGCCCTACGACAACTGGTTCAGCTTTAAAAATTTGTCAAAGTTTGCAAACATTGGTATTGTTTTTTTGGCATTTGTCAAAATTAGACTTTTGATCGACGTTTTCTCAAAAACGCCTGAACCGATTTTGAAAATTTAAAAGCCATTTGATGTATTTCGGTGAGGACTATCGTTTGTCAGTTTTGTGCGACGATCTGCCAAGCCGTTTCTTTGCAATTTGAAAAAAAGTGTTAAACTTTTCGTCCACATTTAAGCTCATCCTACCGAACCGATTTTAAAAAATCAAAAACTGTTCGAAAGATATTAGTTGGGAATGGTACTGATTAATTTTAGGTGAAAATCTACCGAGCCGTTTTCTTGTAATGAACTGTTGAAAAAAAAAAATTAAGCCGATTTTCATGGAACTTTTTTTGGCGATATACATCATAGTCTTATTGAACTTACTGTAATATTACGGCATTACGAAAAGTAGTTTAATTTTAAAAATTCGTCAAACTTTACTAAAATTATTATGGTTTTTTAAAGTAGGATTGATGAAGTATATTATTTACACATTTTTTTTTATTAAGTCAATTATTTACACATATCGGGAAGTTCATGTAACTTGCCTCAAGGCTAAATACCAAACCAACTAGTTTCAAATTTAATTTATCAGTAATTTGTATCGATGTTTATGGAACTAAATCAATATCTAAATTTTTAATTCTTACAAAAATTGTTACAAGTACATTCAGTATGTCAGGCACATAGAAATATATTTTATGTGGTTGATATTTGCATCTAATTTTATAAAGTGTTAATGATTTTTATTGGGACCAATTATATGATTTTTAATATTTATTTCATTGGCTAGATCGTGACACTTTCTGTTTGATTTGAAAATTTTTTTTATTTGATTTTTTATTCCTTCAAATTTTATGATTATTTAACACGTTTGCGGACAGTAGAAGATTCAGCAAGGTATAAACATTGCCAATCATAATATTTTTAAGACTAATTATGATATTCATAATTTGATTAAACACCGTTTATATGAATGCTATAGCATCCACGTCCGCGGACGTGTTAATATTGCCTATCAAAAATATTATGGGCGTGCGTATACTTGTATTGTATATATAGATAAAAAGCAGCTTTTCAAGACGCACATCTAGATATTAGAAAGAAAATCTATATTGTTTCTGATTTTTTTAAACTAAATTTCTACACATTTCAAACCGCAGTACGAACCTTCCAGAAAAAAACTGCAGAACATTATTATATAGAATTTACAAAATATCAATAAAAATATACAGTGTTAAAAACTAATTAAAACTATTGGTGTATGGCATCGTGCCTTAAGGCAAATTGCTGGAACTTACCGTACTGTAACAAAATATTCGAGGAATAGAGTTTTTAAATAGATTATTATAAATACTGTAACATTGTTTTTATTTATATGAATTATATAAACTGAACAGCAAAATTAAAATTATTTGTTTGAAGTATAATAAACTTTAGTCAGAATTAAAATTAAAACCAGAATTATTTTCGATATACAAAGAAAAAAACAAATTGAAAAAAAATGGCAAATTTTTTTTTTCCAAAAGCAATTATTTTGTTAATACTACAGAAAGTTCTTTGATCTGAATAATTCAAATCGGACGCTTATTTCTCTAAAAACTGCCAATTTTTGCACATTCAGCTCCGTATCTTCGAAATGACTGGGCCTGTCTTTACCAAAATCTAATCACCTCTTCTCCCAATCATTACAAATAGAATGTTTTTTAGATCATTCAAATCGGATACTACGTTCTCTCAAAAACTCGATTTGTATTTCCTGCACTTTTTGCTTCGTACTTTCGCAACGGCTGGACCTGCCTTTATCATAAAAGACATGCAAAACACACACACACATCCATTTTTTCTGAGGTACGCCAAAATGTTCTGAACCTTCAAAACGTCGAGAAATGCAAAAAATTTCATTTTCGATTTTCGGCCCATTACTATAACCACCCTACGAGAAGTTAAAGAATATGTACAATTAAGAATGTACATTTCTATCACCATAAAAAATAAATAAAACTAGTTTAATGTCGTGTTTTGTCTTATGGCAAGAAGCATAAACATCCCGATATATGTAAATATAATCGTTAATCAATTATATTTTTCAAATTTATATATGATCTACCTACCACATTTTTCTACAATTTTTGTTTCATAAAGCATTTCTTCTGATTATTTCTGGTGCATTGATAACAACTGGAAAATGAGTATTATGAAACATTTTTTTTCATAATAATCACATATGATTAAATTATTAGTTTTGATAATAATTTCTCAAATAGAGATACCGACATATGAAACATCTTCCGGGAATCATCGTTAAGTTCTGATTGATGTTCAAAAAAAAAACTTTTTTCAATTAGTGTGTGTGTATAGTGTATTTGACTTTAAATTATATCCTAGGTTAATCTTATGTAAATAAGTCTATAAGTCTTATACGTATATAAGTCAGTGGACTGCTCATAAACGGCTGGTCTAATTTTGATAAATCTTTTTGTTTTAGTTCTGATGGATCTATAAATTGTATTTAATCAAAAAATAGTAACTATGCAGTAATAAGGAATAATAGCTAAATTAACCACAGAAAAATAATGTTTGTGTGTGTGTGTTTATGATAGTGAGTGAGATATATATTGACTATAAATATTTTTATTTATCTATATGTAATAATATAAGAATTTCTATATATATGTGCATTGGTATTTGGCAAAATTATCCCTTGTCCAAAGCTTGCATTCATATATAAATTTATAAACCTTATCAATGTTAATCATGCAATGTGTTCTCCAATGCTTGCTATTTTCGTTAATTATTTTGATCCTTACCCTGGATGTGTTTATTTCAGTCCTGGACTTGCACGTAACCTACACCCCTAAACCACCAAAGTGCCTACCACAACCAAATTTCGAACCTCAACCGCAATTTCAACCTCAAGGCAGAAAGAATGTGCCATGGCTCAGCTGCCCTCGCCGCGACTGCGACACTACAGGTTTCTGCAAGCAAAAAAGCAAAAAAAAAATTATAAATTGATAATATAAATTTTCAAAATTTTGGTGATAGTATTTTTAGTTTGGTTTTGCAAATTGTAGTTAAATTTATTAAGGTTTGTTTTGCTTTTGCGCACTTTTTGTCATATCGTCATTTGTCTTTACATAAAAAAGTTGGTAAATCTTGGTCTGATTAGTTGTAAAAAATTGAAAAATATTTTTTTTGTAAATAAGTATCAATTAGTTTTTGAAATAATATTTATTAACTTCCCGGAAAAGAAGTTTATTTTATATATACATATATAAGATATATATAAAATTTTTGCGAATTAATATGTACAAAAAATAATGTCATTGTTTTCTTTACTGCAAGCATCAATATAGACCAGTTGGTGTTTATTTGACTACTTGATTTTCAAATATTCTGGTTAAATGATAATATAATGATTTATTAATGAAGTTTATTGTCTCTAGTTTAAAATTTGATCAAATATTTTTTATGAAACGGCATTTGCAAATATGACTTAGCGCACGGTCAAAATCATTTTGGCTCAAATATATAAGTATATTACATTTATATTGCAATCCATGTACAGCAACCATTATAAATAAATAATATATAATTTTGCGTTTTTGAAGAAATCGCACTCATAAATATTTCACAATTTGCCAAAGAAAATATCTGTGTATGGCTAAAGCTTATTACTACTCTTACTAATTTTAATAATAATTTAGATTAAACAAAAATGTCAATTAAAGGTAATAACATTCCTGGATCAAAATTGCATACAATAGTAAAATCTTTGCAGCCATATGAACTATAAATTGACTGAATGAAAATTTAGCATCAGATTGAAATAAATATAATATAACTCTTAAGGAAAGCAAATTTTCATTTTAGAAAAAAAACCTTGTTTAGTTAAAAATCAGTTCACTCATCAGGCTATTTGTTCTTAAGTAAATTAGACGTTTAAAAAACGTTAATTATTCAATATTATAAATATTTTTTATTGAATTACACTTTTTGTCACCTCAAGGAGCACACCTAAAGTGCGAAATTTTCAAAAAATCAAATTTTGAATTTTTTCATATTTTGATGGGTTATACCTTTAAAAATAACATACTAAAATTTAAAATGAATATCTTAAATAGTTTTTTAGTTACAGCCATTTAAGAGTATATATAACTATATAGTATACAGTATAATGATCATTTTATCTTTAAACGCGTTTTTCACGAAACAGCATTTTTCTAATTTTCTGGAGTGATTACTCCGAGACAAATGATCTGATCGCTATAATTTTTTTTGCACCTCCTCTCTAAAGTTTTCCATACGATAGCCTTCCAGTTTTTTGATCTGATCAATAATCGAATTTTGGCAGGCTAAAAACAACCAAAATCTTGGGAAAAATTTAACTTTGTTTTTCAACAAGCCGCAATTTTGTCAATTTTTGATATTTCTGTTCGCCCGAAGGTTATCCTACAGACAATATGTTTTAACTTAACGAGAATTTTTTTTTGTTTTATTAACGAGGAAGGCTGCAATCACTCCAGCAGTAGTGGACCTTTTTTTTGCGCCGCCGGAGATCACGTGTCATTTCAAAAATATTTAATATTTTATTTAAAAAAATTTTACTGTGTATCCTCAAAACATCTATAAATGTTCCCTCAAAATTTTAAATAGATGGATTCACTAGTTATTCTTTTTTTAATTCCCAAAAATGATCTTTTTTAGTTTCTCACACTAGATGTGCCCCTTAATGTTTCATCAATCACAGAATTGCAATAATAAAACACATGGAAATTGTACACGTTTTGTTAGAGGTAATGTTTTAGAACAAAATTATAATCAATATTTGTTCAAAAAATTATTTTATTCATTTACAACAAATAATATATTAAATACAACAATTATAATAATTATTAATTTTGTTCGTTAGCATTCAAAGCAAAAAACACAATAAATCCAAAAGGTGAATCGTCATATTGATGCACGTGTAAAGGAAAGTTAATAACATTTTGTAAAAAAAAATTTCTGATGAAAAAAATGCATTTAATTAAAAAACTATTCTATGTACATGGGATTTGCAAAATTATTATCAAATTGGCATTCACATTTTTATTTTGTCGCACGCTTAATATTTTAGAAAATAGAAATATTACTATGAAGCTATTGCAGCAACCGTAGTGAGCACGCTTTCTTGTAGATTTAGAAATAATTTAATAATATACTTAATATATACAAAATAAAAATGTATAAAAATGTGATATATTATGTATAGACTTCAGGCTTGAATCAGATGTTCTAATATTAAATTCTAATTTTAAATGTAAAGCATGAAATTACTTAGTAGTAACCGGTTATTATTTAAGACTCAATTAAAACTCATAGCTCAGGACCAATTTTAGTTCGAAAAAAATTTTAATAATAAAATCATCTAATTTCGTAAATGCACACATCTGATTCAGGCCAAAGGCCCTTTGATTCACCCAAACTTTTTCCTCAATGACTTCTATTTACTAATTTTATATATTATCCCGTTAGAACGATGACAGCGATATGTTTCGTTTGCAACCTGCCCATCCTGAGTCACCAGGTTGGCCTGGTGTGGCAAGGAGGCAACGGCTGGGACGACCTTGTTCGAGAACAAGTAGAAGAATCCACTCTCAGGCAAAGGCTAGGCGGAGGCAGGAGGGACTCTTCCGCCCAGATTGATGCCATATCGTCTCCTCCGACTGAGGTAAATGATTCAATCATAATATTTTGTAAAATTTAGGAACCGATTCTGCCGCACAATATACAAATGTTCTGGCAAGGCCATGTTACGCTCCAACTTTCATACATTATGCTACTGTATCATACTGAATATTGTCAACATGTAATGTATTTACTGAGCATTCAGGAGTTTTACACATAAGCTGTAACGTCACTCGTATGTTATGAAACGGAGTCAGAAAGACCCTGTTAACTAAGATTATTTTTTGACATTTGTGCGGTTTCTAGGTTAGGTTTTCTACCTGACTACCTGAGGAAAACGCCTGACTGCAGAGCAACCACATGGCTATTTTCAATATGTAATATAGTAAGTTCTTCATAACATAGCCTTGCCATATTTATCTGTTATCAGGCAGAATCGGTCCAAAAGCTTCAATTTTACTAAATATATTCCACATCTATCTTTAGACATAAATCACAGAAATTGGGAATATGTGAAAAATGCAATGCCGAGATTTATAAATTGTTTTTCAAAGATTCTTCATATTTTATTCTGAACGTTAAATTCAAGCAAAATTATTAATTGCATTGTTATATAAATATAATGTGTTGATCTAATCAAAACGAATATTTTTATTGTTGCTTTTAATAACGAAACCATAAAGAATTTCTCAATATTCAAAAGAAATATGGCATATTTACTTATCTCTTTATAATAATTTATTTACAACATTTTATTTAATTTTCAATAATATTTATTCTGTGGGAGAACAATACTTTTTTGATAACGAAATCTAAATCCATAGAAAATTCCTGATGATTTTATGAAAATAGTTAATTTTAGAAACAATTTATTGTTGTTTCGATAAATGTTTTACCGGTATTTTTGATAAGTCATAAAATATCCTAAATATTTTTATTAAAAAAAATTATTAATTATTAATGAATTGTTTATATCGGTTATGCTTTCGCGATTTGTACAATGTGTTTTCAACATTTCAATAATAATCTGTTGTTGAAGTTTTGCAACAAATATATTCAGTGAATATTACGTACTGAACGTGTTATAATATTTGACATATTTCCTTACTTAAGTAAAATAATTAATTGATAAATAAGTTAAGTGTTAATTGACAAGTATACTCGTCACGGAAAAGTGGAAGAATATTGTCACTTGACAAGTAGATTCGTCATTCGTAAAATCTGTTGACCATTGGCTATTTAATTTAAAAAAAAATTATCTATTTAATATATTTAAAAAAATATTCATTCACACATTCACTTCTTTAAGAATTATGTTAATGTTTTATGTATTAACGTTTACTTTGCAGCTAAATAAAAAGTAAAAAATATACTTTGGGTAGCAAAAAAAGTCTAGAACAATATCTCCTTGCATTATGTATATTTTTTTGATTATGTTACTTACTTGATTTTTATTGGTAACACAATTTAGCATTTGCCATTCTAAAATTCAAGCAAATCATCTCTGTATTTAAGTGACAAGTTAATCAAAAAGGCCTTATTCTAAAAATTTGTCATAACGCTGTTAAACGTTTAAATTTTTGTAGTCGGTTTTATTAGCAAAAGAAGCCAAGAGAATTCATGTTGTCTTTTGAAATTGAGTATATCTACTTAAATTTTTTTAGATACTTTTACATTTGACTTGTAAAATTAATACAAATTAACTCTCAATGAGTACGCTTACCTTTTATGCCACGTTCCAAATTTGTCGAATCAAATAATAATGGCTTTTTGTTAACTTTTAATTCTATAACAATCTAATGATACACAATAACAATAGTAATGGCCTTTTCTAGGCTCTTCAATGTGAAATAATATTTTCACACTAACACTGTGAATATAAAGTCATATAATTTATTAACACCAAAAAAATGTTTAAACTTTGTTGTTTTTCATATAATTTAGTCATATAATTTATCAACACCAAACAAAAGTTTAAACTTTGTTGTTTTTCATATATAGGCATACATATGTAGGCTTATAATTACTGAATATTTAATTATGTAAAACATAAATTCGGTCCACAGAGAGTTAACTTATTTTACTACAATAAAATTGGCCAAATGATAAATGTTATTCGAGGATATGCCTAGAATGCTATCAATCAATATTATTTTACTGTAGTAAAAATATATCTTTGTCTGATTTGAAAAAATGAAAAAAAAGTACAAAAAATTATTAATTTGATATAATTTAATGCAAATAATTGGATTGTGTTTTTAGTAATCCATAAAACTAAGTGTAATATTTTTTTCCACATTTGTCAATTATTTTCCAGGTGCGTGAAACATCGCCTCCGCGTGCCGTCGGTACAGGCACCTCCGGCGGCCGAAGACGCCGCAGCAGTTTGGCGCAGCTGACCGACATCCTGCGCGAATGGTCAGGTCCCAGCAGACATGGGAGCACGAAGGCGCCTCTATGTCGAAGAGAAACATTGGCTGATCTGGCTAGGAGTTTACCTTGGGGAAGGCAGCAGAGTGTCGCTGGAAGCAGGTAATTAAATTTTTTACTAAATAATTGCACTGGTCAAAAAGTTGTCTGTGCTGTGCGACATATGTGTTCTTAGCGCTGGACTGAATTCTAAGATCAAAATTTGCGGTCTAACTGCAAAAATTGAGAAAAATATAAAAAAAATGCAAAATTTCTGCTCTACTCATTTTTTGTATGATAATTAAAATCATATTATAATTTTTGCCGTTTTCTGGCCCTTTTCTTCTTAAATGATCTGCGCAACATATATCTGTAACCATGTTTCCATCTTTGGTATGAATCCTTCTCAGAAGTAACTTACAAACAGGATCATTTTGTAGAGAGCTATTTTATAAATATTCTTTATTTAATTTTACTTATTTTAATTTATTGATTGTGATTTGATACGCTATTAATAATATTTTGATTAAATTTGGTTCCGATAATTAGGAGGTTTAACTAGAAATCAATATTTACCAATTCAATAATAATTGAGTTAATAATCAATGTTAAACATGAATAATTGGATACACTTTTTCTTAACAACTCTGTAATAATTTTATTGAACATCAATTTTAGAATTTTAGATACAAATAATCTGCAAATTTGTCTGCAAATAATCCAGTGGCAACAGGGTGTAAATATATTAACATTATGTTTTTAATTTACAAACACAGTTCTTTAGGTAATTTTTTGGTGTTTCATTTATAAAATTGTTACTAGGTAAGCTTGAAAGTGAGTTTCTAATTTTTTTAATATTTACTACTAACTAATTGTGTAAATGTATAATAATTTTTTAATATTAATATCTTCAAAGCATAGATATGCTATATTCCCGAAATATTGATTAATTGCAAAATAAATAAAAAACATTTTACTGATTAATAAAAATTTTAGAAGTCTTTTTTATTTTAAAATTACTTAATCATCTATATAGTTTCACTTACTTTAAAATTACTTATCTATGTACAATATATAATTGTACTTAGTTACTTATTTGTTTACATAGATATTTATATTTACTCACTAAGATGCTTACTTACTCACTTAGATACTTATTTAAATACTTAGTTACTTACATGCTTAAATACTTACTTACTTGTTTATATACTTACTTGCTTATATAATTACTTACTCGCTTAGATACTTATTTACTTCCATAGATAATAACTTACCTGCTTAGATAATAACTCACCTACTTAGATAATTACTTACTTACATACATACTTAGGTACTTACCTACTCACTTAGGTACTTATTTACTTACTCAGATGCTTACTTACTCATTTAGGTACTTACTTGCTTATTTAGGTACTTACTTACACACGTAAATGCTTGCTTGTTTACTTAGATACTTACTTACTCACTTAGATGCTTACTAATTTACTTAGATGCTGACTTGCTCACTTAGATGCTGACTTACTCACTTGGATACTTTCTTACTCACTTAGGTATTTACTTTCTCACTTAGAAGCTTTCTTACTCACTTAGGTACTTACTTACTTACTTAGGCACTTACTTACACACGTAAATGCTTACTTATTTACTTCGATACTTACTTACTCACTTAGATGCTTACTAATTTACTTAGATGCTGACTTGCTCACTTAGATGCTGACTTACTCACTTGGATACTTTCTTACTCACTTAGGTATTTACTTTCTCACTTAGAAGCTTTCTTACTCACTTAGGTACTTACTTACTTACTTAGGCACTTACTTACACACGTAAATGCTTACTTATTTACTTCGATACTTACTTACTCACTTAGATGCTTACTAATTTACTTAGATGCTGACTTACTGACTTAGATGCTGACTTACTCAATTAGATGCTTACTTTCTCACTTAGATGCTTACTTTCTCACTTAGATGCTTTCTTACTCACTTAGGTACTTACTTACTTACTTAGGCACTTACTCACTTAGGTACTTACTTACTTACATATTTATTTACTTAGTTAGGCGCTTACTTACTCGATTAGGTACTTACTTATTCACTTAGGTACTAGTAAGTACTTACTAACTGTACTTACTTATTTATTTAGATGTTTAGATACTTACTTTAAATATTTACCTAATTACTTAGGCACTTACTTACCCACTTAGGTACTTACATACTTACTTAAATATTTACTTAATTACTTAGGCACTTACTCACTCACTTAGATACTTAGTTACTCACTTAGATACTTAGTTACTCACTTAGATACTTAAATACTAACTCACTCACTTAGATACTTAGATATTAACTCACTCACTTAGATACTTAGATATTAACTCACTCACTGAGATCTTAGATACTAACTTACTCACTTAGATATTTAGGTACAAACACACCCACTTCAACCCGAAGCTAAAAATTATGTTTTTACCAAACTTGTTAACTGGAGGTTTTAAGTCATTCTGAATCGCTTGGACTCAAATTGGAAAAAAATATGTTTGTATGTGAGCTGATTTTTATTGTAACTTTTTTATCTGTTTGCTCATGCTAACCATGAAACCAAACTTAAAACAAATTTTTTTTGTTATAATTTTTTTTTGGCCTACAGTCAACTTCAATGTTTTATTTATAAAATTGTAAGATACATAAAAATGATCCAATAAAAATAATCTAATAAAAATAAATATAAAACGAAACAGTGTTAAAACAAAATAAAATGATAAGAGTAAATCTTGAAAACTTGAGAATATTGTGAAACAGAGACATACAGCATAAGTAACAAAAATAACATTAATTGAAATTAAATTAAATGTTAGATCAGTATTAAAAGACAGTAATAATATAGTCAATAATATTAACCTAAATTATTAATAATTATTATGTTTACAGAGGTGTTCAACGTCAACAAACCATAAATCGTGCGCCTCCAAAACGAAGGGAATCTAGTGCCGACTCTGGTATCAAATCTTTGACCTCTCGTTCTCGAAGGGACTCCAGAGCTTCTGATTTTAAGTCAGATTTAGCCAGGTTGTGGTCCAGGGGAAAATCTGGAGATGACGATAAGGTAATATGATATTATAATTGTTTATGTTAACAAAATACAATTCAAAATATTACTACATATTTTCTAGTTTGGACAGTGTTTGTTCTATTAATATATATTCAAAACAAGGATATACAAAACAAAGTGTAAAATTAAACTAGTATAAGAAATCTGACGTATGAATTCTAAGATTCATAGATTACTGTTTACATTTTCACCAGTTGAATAAAACTAGTCTATTTTTTATGATTGCTAATGTTATATTTTTTTTATTAGGATACTAGTACATCAGGTGTTGGTTCAATGACTGGCAGTGGCCTTGGTGGTAGCAAAGACCGAGAGACTCCTCCTTTGGGTCCTACTTTTGCACAAGTGCCACAAGGACCTCAAGGGCCACCACCTCCAAGAGTTGTGTCTGCCAGAAGAAAAAGAAGGGACTCGAGAGCTGCTTTGGATGTACCGCCAAATTTTAGGTAAAAAAGTGATTATTGCATATTTAATTAGTTAACAGATATACTTCATATTTAAAGACAATAATAATAAGTTATGTTGTCTTGCATTACGAGTACTATTATGAACTGCAGTGCTAGACAAAGTTCTTAAATTATTTTGTGGTATTTCATGATTATTATTGTTCTAATAATGCTTTATACAGATATGTAATAATCAATTCAACCAAAAATATAAGTGGCACAATAACCTGATTTCTTTATAGATATATTTTTGATAAGTAGTTGATTCAACAAGTAATTTTGTTCTGTTTCTAGACAAGAACAGCGTCCGTCCACCTCGTCGACTGCCACGACTGCAAGTGATTCTTTAGGGCCTCCGGATGGAGCACCTTCTGGTTCGGCCCTGCCGCCTCCTACTATTGTTATGAGCAGTGTTACGCCGCCATCTACATCGCCAACTGCACCTCCAAGTGTTGGAACTACAGGTAATATTTCTAAAAACCATACTTCGGGACCGATTCTGCTATATGACAAATGTTATGGCAAGGCCATGTTACGGTCCATGTTCCACTGAATCATACTGAATACTGTCAAAATGTCATGTATTCACTATGCATTCAGGTGTTTTGCACATAAACTGCTACGTCACTCATGTGTTATGAAGCTGGGTCAAAAATACCCTGTTACCTAACATCGTTTTTTTGACATTTGTGCGGTTTCTATGTTAGGTTTTTTATCTGACAACCAGAGAAAAACACATGACTGCAGAACAACCACATGTCTGTTGTCAATAATTAGTATGGAAAATTTTATCATAACATAGCCTTGCCATAACATTAGTCTGTTGAGCAGCAGAATCGGTTCATAAATATATTTATTAAAATTCAATGCATACCTAGCACTGTTACTTTTCAATCAGTAAGTTGACGTAAATTAATTATTCAGCAAGTTTCAAATAGGGTTTTTTTTAAGATAGTTTCTTAGGTTAATACTTAATTAAGTTTTAAGCTATGTTAGTAAATAAAAAATGGTATTTTTATTATTAAGGTCGTCGTGATTCTACAACTCAATGTGATGGACCTAGAACTGCAAATTCTTCAAGAAGAGAATCCAGGGTTTCTCCAGATAGACCTGCTAGAATGCAGAGGCTTCAAAGACAGGTACCAGTTTTTTTTAAATATATTATTCTTGAAATTTGCGCCAGATATTATTTTTAAATAAATAAAATGGAAATTGAGAAAACCTGTACAATTATGAAAAACTATTGACAATCAAGAACTTGAGTGCATTTTATTTGTAAATTTTATCCAAATATTTGTAACTGATTATACACTATAAGAAACTAAGAAATTAAATTGAAGTTTATTTAATTTTTTTTTATCAATTTATTAAATTGTAAAATATTCATCAAGACTCAAGAGTATGAGATTTTTATTCAATTAACTAAACACAACTTCTAAAATATTTGTTATTTAAAAATCTTAAATTGTTGAATTTCTATAATATATTAGTAATCACTTTCAACATTATTATTTATTTGCTTAGTTTTAAGTATATATATTTAGTATTTTAGGAATTAAGTACTAAAGAACTAATGTGTGTGTGTCAACAACTATGAAATAATGTTAATGATCATGTAGTCCGATTTATTAAAAATATTTCATTTTTAACTTCTCGAGGGATAAATTTTTGATTTTGGTAGAAAATCCAGTATGTTCATTTTGTTACCTTGGCCTTTGAAGTCGTTCCGTGTCGTTCGACATCGAAATTGACAAAAGTTTGTATGTGTGTGTGTGTGTGTGTGTGTGTATGTGTGTGTGACTCTTTAAAAGATTATATTTGACTTTTTGTCCAATTTTGTTCTCAGAATGAACCGATTGCAAAAATTTAAAAGCCGTTTGATAAGAAGTTACGTTGATTAGTTTTGCGCCAAGACCGGCCAAACTATTTCTTTAGTGCGTAATTTTTCGTACACGTTTCAGCCAAAATTCCAGATTCAAGAAATTCAGAAACTGATCGAAAGATATTGTAATCTATGTAAATTGTGAAGAACGTTCGGGATATTTTTTGTCTCATTAGTTAATTCCTCGATTTTAATGATATTTTGTATGTATACAATAAAGTATATAAACAAGTATTCTTATATATTACAAGTAATTTTATATTTTCATTCAAAATAACAGTTTGCCTAGTTAGTGAAACATTCAATAATTTTGGTTACAAATGTAAGATTTTTTATGCTTTCCGTTGGTAGTCATTTTAGGTTTGAAAATGAATGAGATAAAATTACAGAACAGTAATGATAATTTTACATAATGTTATTTGCTAAATCTAAAGGGTTAGTTTTTTTGGGTCTTCTAGGTCAAAATTGTGCAAAATTAAATAACCTGTCATACTTTCTCTAATTATGAGGTCGTACTTTGACTCGGTATACCTACTTGTTTTAATTTGTCAAAAATTAAAATATTGTTTTTGTGTTGATTAAGTTTGTTATATAAACATATAGGGAATTTGAAGCAACTTCTATTCAAAATATCTACACCTATGATCTCTACGCCTAGTTGCTTCATATTTTCAATTTTAAATCCGTGTTTTGTTTTACTTAATTTATGTATTTTTTTAATTTTACGTATATTTTACTCTTTTTGACTGATCATAAGCTGAATGATGTTACCCGAATCCTATGATTAGATAGTACATATCAAATATAAATTATTTTTTATACTCGAAAATGACGGTCATATCTACATGAGTGTGATTGAATTCACATCTTATTCATAAAAAATATAATTTTTTTTTTATTTTCGAAAATTACAAATATACTTATAAGGAGAACCCATGTGTTGTTCTCCTCGGATTTTGATGAAACTTGGCACAATGGTAGATTTGATTATTGGAGCATTTCTCTTCATATTTTAATACCATTTTTATAATACCATGTACTATCTTTTACTATATCATATACTTTATTTTATATACTTTTATATACTACACCACCACACATCCAAATTTCTTTATAATTAACTTCTTCATTCTTCTTTTTTTCTGATCTTGCTACTTCTTCTAACTTCTACTTCTATTCTATCTCAAATCAACAACTTCTACTACTCAGTTTCATTATATAATATATAATATAATTAGTTTAGTATTACATAATTATACGAATCCCTCAAATAACTTGACCTCAGTCTAATCTTCACCTTGTTTACATTATTGCAGGCCACTGCTTACGATGAAAGTTGCTTACCTCCAGGTGTTTGGACTGGCGGTGCCAGCAGACGTGGTTCTAATTCCCCAGAAAACAACATCAACAATAACAACATAAACATAAACAATTTGAGTTGCGAAGACGATACAGGCGAAAGAAAACATACGCCCAGGAGGGATAGTTTGAGTCCGGACAGTGCTGGAGTTACGGTAAAAATTCTAAGTAAAATTTTTTTTAGACGAAATTAAACCTGACAATAATTTAAAAAAAAACACTTCTAATAATAATGTGTTACTTGGTTCAAAGTATCATAATAAAATGTTTCATAATCAAAATTGTCTTCAAAAGTTAACTTCCGACGAAAAACAACAGGGGAATTGTAAATAAATAAGAGCAGTTTCAAATAGATAACAAAGTATGAAAATTATGATGATTATTAACCTGAAAAAGAATTTTTAAAATAATTTAAAAAAGAGAATAGGACAAATAGGTATACTGAGGAAAATTGATACTTTACAAAAATTGTTATATCAAATTTTATTTATCGGCAGTTCATTAGCAGCATTTGCTTAAGAACTTGCAATGAAAATTCAAAAATATATGACTACTTTGCTTTTTAAAGTAATTCTAAGTCTAAGTTTTGTGAGTTATTTGACAAAAACCAAATGTCCCCAATTTTCTATTTATTGCTGAATAGTGTAATATCAAATTTAAAGTCGTTTTATTCAAAACTTTTATATCGGAGTGTATACAACTGTTAGTATAGAATTGTAGTAAATTCTATCTAGTTTCATTCCATCTAACTGACGAACTGAAAAACAAATCTTTTAGATGAAAATTAAATTATACAAGCCACAAATTGTCATTTTTGCTGGGTTACCAAATTGCTTCTGACTAATTATTTTGACTAACTTTAAATGACTGATCTTTAAATTATTATATGTAGGAATATTTACATAATTTTAATAATTTATTCAAAAAAAATTATTTTGTTTATATATTTTATCTTTAAAATTGTTTTACTATTTTTTATTTATTTTTCAGGCACGATCACGTCGAGATTCTCGAGCTTCACGATTGAGTCCAGATCGAGAAATGGATTTGCCTGGATCTTCCAGAAGACATAGTAGACGACTGAGAAGGTAATTTTAATTTACCAAACTTTATTGAGAAAAATACAAATCTCATCCATTTGCTAGTTTTAATAATTACCTATACAAAATTACCACATCGATTTTCAATTTAATCAGCAGAATATCAAATTCATCAGTATCAGGAGAATCTCACTTTTGGAACAGGGAATACTTCTATTAACACACCTCATCTCTAATTACTCGTTTATTGTCTTTAATTACACTCTCTACAATATTCATTTTTAAATATCACTATTTTTCTCTCACAATATATGATCTATTTTCACACATTTTTTTGTTATTCTGGTATTGTGATATTTATATGTCGGTACGAATGGTACATCGCAATAATGGATTTAACAAAATTTACGAGTCTAAAAAAAATAATACTAAATAATGGACATAGTACGCATTTTATTCCTCATTTCTCTCCTTAAGTGAATACTTCAGCAGCTGCATTTTGGTTAATCCTAGACCATTCAGCTTTTTTATTTTTCTTAGATGAAGTCTTGCAAAAGGCAGTTTCGATTGCTTCTCACAATTCACGAGTCTTAAACAAATTTAGTTCCAGATATTGCAAAATAGGTTTTCTATTCCTCATTTTTCTTATCAAAAAAGTCCTTCAGTAGCACCGTTTATGATCATCCTAGTCGTCCCACTTTTTTTATTTTTCTTGAATGAAGTCTAGCAAAAGGCAGTTTTCATTGGTTCTCACTCTTTACGAGGCTTAAAAAAATCTAATACCAAATAATGGATGATAGACTTTCTATTCCTCATTTCTTTATTCAAGTAAATACTTCAGCAGCTGCATTTTGGTTCATCCTAGACAATCCAGTTTTTTTTATTTTTCTTAGATAAACTCTTGCAAGAAGCAGTTTCCATTGCTTTTCACAATAACATCCAGTATTAGTTCTCTCTTATTTTTATAAATGTAATACTTCTCCATTATAACTAGATCAGTCAACTTTACCTTCTATATTTTTCTCCAACATTCAACAATAAATGTGACTATTATTACCATAAATTACTACATAATTTTAAACTACTTAATAACTTAAAATATTTTATTTTTCTAGGCAAAGTAGTACAGCAGTAACAGGCGGTTTATCCAACCACCACCACCACCAACGCAGTCCAGACTCCAGCAGCTGCGCCTCTTCCCGAGATCCGAGTCCTGCAGGTGGTGGAGGCACCACAATTTTGAGTGGTGGTCCCCTGGTGGACGCACCACCAGGATCTCGTCCTGCTATCAGGAGACAATCGACTACCGAAGAAATACTGATAGCTAGAGGATTCAGAAGGCAGTCGACTACTGAGGAGATGATCAGGTGTAGGAATTTTAGGAGGCAGAGCTCGCAGAGTGATGATACATCGAGGTAAAAAAAAATAATTTTGTAGATATATGGATGAGATTTTTTTGCAAAGTTTAAAGGCTGCGTTTTTGCGTTGAGCATGAATTTGAAGTCAAAATTGAAAGTCTGATGGATAAAATTGGAGAAGATTAGACTGCGACAAAATCTTCGATTTAGAAGTTTTTTTGATTGACAATTAAAATGTTATAATTTCTGTCGTTTCCTGGTTTTTTAAGGGGCACAACTAGTGTGAAGTTTTCAAAAAATCGAATTTTCAATTTTTTCATATTTCGATGGATTATACCTTTAAAAATAACATACCAAAATTTTAAATCGTTATCTTAAATAGTTTTTCAGTTATTTAAAGAGTATATATTGTATATAATATAACAATCATTTAATTTTAACGCGTTTTTCTCGAAACAGCATTTTTCGAATTTGCTGCAGCGATTACTCAAAAACAAATGATCCGATCACTATCAAATTTTTTTTTACATGTTCTATATATAGTACTCCATAAAATGAACTATCGATTTTTTGATCGGATCAAAAATCGAATTTTGGCAGACCAAATTTTCTGGTAAAATTCGACTTATTTTTTAAAAATGCCGTCATTTTGTCAATTTTTGATTTGTTTTCTTTATCGTAGTTCATTTTACAGACAATATTATGTAGTTTAACAAGAATTTTTTACTTTAATTTTATCCACGTAGAAGGCCGGAATCACTGCAGCAGTGAAGGGCCTTCTTTTTGTCGCGCCGTTGAAGATCGACGATAAGTTTAAAAATATTAAATTTTTTTCTTCAAACATTTTACTATGTATTCTCAAAACATGTGTAAATATATTCCTAAAATTTTGAAATGATTGATAACGTAGTTTTTTAATATAAATTCTCAAAAATCACATTTTTTTAGGCGTTTACACTAGTCGTGCCCCTTAAGCCTTAAATGGCATGTGTGTACTAGATTTCTGCAGAAATTTTTCTTTGATATTGAGCACATTCTTATATTTTTCATCTGTAATTTGCAAACCTATTTACTTCTTATTGCTCCTAGATGATCTGCAAACATGTTTGCAGTTATTTCAAAATTTGTTAGCAAATTTTTGCTGAAAGTTGCAAAAAAATACGAAAAATCTAATAAATTTTAATCGCATATATCTAAAAAAATTTTAAGTAAATAAATTAATCTAAATTATATTTAAGTAGATATAAATTTTATCTCTTTCTTATTATTACAGATATCGTGGCCGAAGAGATTCTTGTGCCCAAATAACAGATGGTACTTTTGAAACAATGACTGTGGAAACCACATCTACATTTTTTGATTCGAGTACACAAACCGGTGAGTGAATTTTGATTTTGCACGGTAATAAATATTTTTTCCGGTACATATTTTATATTTGTGATTAAATTAAGACATTATGAACACATATACTTGGTCAATTTTTAAGAAATGTGGATTATTCGGTTTTAAACTGGTCGTTGCAAAACCAGTTATCGTTTCTCTAAAGGTCATCAGTAAATTTAATATTTTTATGTGATGTATTTTTTCTTGTTCCAATTATTTTAATTATTTTATAATTTCCAACAGAAAAAAGAACTTGGTCTGATAGTGAGTCAGCAATAATATTCGCAAAACGAATATTTGTTCAAAATAATAGAGACAAATAAATATTTTAAAGTATCTTTCTTAAGAAAGTCTGTAAAAAACTGAAAAAGTTTAATTGAAATTAATTAGCATTTTTTAACTATGTGGGAGGAAACTATATGGCAAACTTGTTGATGAAATCATAAAACTAGATCAAAAAAATAATGAGAAATGTTATTTTGTTGGATCGAATCGTATAAGTCTAAACCCTTCTTCAAATTTAATATAAGTTTATGAAGTCTATGTAGGCGTTGAGGATGAATTCCTTGACTTCCCACACGTTAAGAAGAAATATGTATGTATATATATATATATATATATATATATATATATATATCGTAAAGAACCTGCCTGAACCTAACATTTTGAAAAGGCGGTTTAGTAAACTTGTATTGAATGGTTGTGAATGTTGACAGTTAACAAAAAAGTTCATACAATTATTTCCTAAATTGATTTTCAACATTATTAAATTATAATTTTGTGAAATCAAGCAGCATATCATGATTTAAAATTTGTTAAATTATTGTTTATTATTCAAATATTTTTATTATCATTGTTCCTATGACTGAGAATTGAAATAGAGTTTCATAGAGTATATATATTAGATTTACAAAACTATCAAATTTTTTTTTAAATTTATAACTACCGGTGTAATTTTTTGACTCTAAATTGAGGTTTATCAAAATGCACACGTTGAGCAAAAATGATAATTCAAATCAATTTCGAAGCTTTAATTTTCTTTGCTTTAATTATATGCGAGTTGTTTTAAAACATTTAAAGTTTATGCATTGTGTTTTTTTTTAATTTATTAATTTCGACTACAAACAGTTTTATAATATCTTATTACAATATATTTACATTTTTTCTAAATGACTTAGTAATTCAAATATAATTTCTATTTGATGTTAAACTGTTTCTGGTTGGTATCATTTATGATTTATGATCATTTGGACTTTGTATCTTAATAAACACTGCGAAAATAAAATGTGAATCATAACTCAATTTATATCAAAGTTTATAAAAACTAACAACTATCATTTCTGATTTTTTTTTCTTAAAATTAATTTGTCAACATTAATTAAAATTTCTAAGTTTTTAATATTTCAAACAAAAACTAAGATTTATAATATTGTCGTTAAAGCTGGATATAATTGCACACGAGCCAAAAAAAAAATTGGTTCAGTAGTTTAGGAGACCATTCCGGACTACTTTGTTATACGTGCTTTATATGCAGGGTGTCTCAGAATTCAACGTCAAATCGAGAAAGGATGATAGTATTGATCTTAGATATCTTGAAAAAATTAAAAAAAATGTCTCACGTTAATTTCAAATTATAAGCTTTTTAGTGCAATATGTTTAGTATGTGTGTGTGTGTGCGCGCGGATACAAATTTTCGTCGATGATGAAAAAACGCCATTTGGCGGTCAAAAATGATCATTAGACATATGTACATCAAATTTTTAAAAATGTTCAAAATATTACAAAATGTAAAAAAAAATCTTTTTATTTAAAAAAAATCAATATTTTTAAAAAACTTCAAAATTCTTAAAAATCAAATATTTTTTAAGTTTGAAAAAAAATTTAGGTTTTGGTACGGAATGTTCTAGCAATTTGCCTTAAGGCACGATGCCATGAACTACTAGTTATAATTAGGAATTAACTGGGAATTTTACTAAATATTGATATGATAATTGTTCATTTCATAGGTATTATATGTTGTGATATAGTTTATTTGGTTTAGACAGTATAATCGCTAAAAGTCAAATTGAACATTTGTGACCCGCCCTATAATATAATGCAAATATACAATAGTTTTTAGTACTCTTCAAATTTACAAACCTTCACCAAACCCACCAACCTCACCACTTACCCTTACTTGTCTCCACCGTTCGATGGCGCCTGCAATTTTCCACCCTATCCCGGTTTTCCCTGGATCTCCTTTATTTTCGTTTCATCCCTTACTCTCGCCCTACAAATGGCGTACGGCCATGCGTACACGCGCCCAGCCGAACGTGTCTGTCCGTCTGTCTGTCATGCCAAACTGTTGCGGGGGCGTTGCTTCCATTCATTCACAAGAATCGAACTGAGGAGTTGAATTGTGATAAAAAAATAAAATATAGTTGATAAATTAGATATTATATAGTTGGGATAGTGAAATTATTAAAAATTTCCCGATGGTTTATTTTGTGCTTTTCGAGGGATGAGCGCGAATTATGTCGCGGGGTTGTATTATGTGATGTTTTGGTGGCGAAAAAGAGATGGAAAAGGAAAATTGTTTTTTGACATTCGTAGTGGATTTGTAGTACGTGAGGTATTGTGACATTTGGTGGATGACTGTTTTGTGAAAGAATTGTGGTTTGTTTCTGCTAGATTTTGCCAAACTTGAAATTTTGTGTAAAATTGAACGCAAACGTAGAGGTTATGAAAATAAATACTAGTCACATTAACATTCGTGTGTGATTGACTTCGAAATTGACATTTATCCAACATTTGGATAAACACAAAAGTTTGCAGTGTTGATAAAATGATACAAACAAAATATTTTATTATCATCAGGTTATCCTAATTTTTGTGAATGAAACGTAAATCAATATCAAATTGACTTTAAAATTGACAACATTTAGATAAACACAAAAGTTTGCAGTGTTAATAAAATGATGTAAAAGACAATATTTTATTACTACTAGCTTCCAAAATTTAAATTATCTTACTTTTTGTAAATCAATATAAAATTGACTTTAAAATTGATAACATTTGGATAAACACAGAAGTTTATGCAGTGTTAATAAAATGATATGAAAGACAATATTTTATTATTCTAGCTTCCAAAATTTAGGTTACCTTAATTTTTGTGAATGAAACGTAAATCAATATCAAATTGACTTCAAAATTGACAACATTTGGATAAACACAGAAGTTTGCAGTGTTATTAAGATGATATGAAAAACAATATTTTATTATCATTAGCTTCTAAAATTTAGGTTACCTTAATTTTTGTGAACGAAACGTAAATCAATATCAAATTGACTTTAAAATTGACAACATTTGGATAAACACAAAAATTTTACAGTGTTAATAAAATGATATGCAAGACATTCTTTTATTATTATTATCAGCTTCCAAAGTTTAGTTTACCTTAATTTTTGTGAATGAAACGTACTTCAAAATCGACCAACTACATAGTGTTACTTTAACTACTTTAAAATACTATAACTAAAGTGTCTAAATTTAATAAAGTATTGAGTAATTTTTAAACGTATATTATAGACTCCTGCTAGTGCTAAAAAGTGTTTTTGTAAAATATTGTTCTAAATTTGGTGCTACTTACATTTTTTATAATTAATGGTGTAATATCCCAGGTAAATTTTATGCTTCTGAAAAAATAATGCAATGTGATCTTAATATCCGTAATAAAAAATGTATTTAAGAACAATTTCAGTTAAATTTTGTGATTTGTTTTAATGCAAATGGTCATAATTTTTGTAATTAAAATAGATTTTGTAATTAAAATAAATCTTAATGCAATAGTAATTTTTTTTATAAATTTAGTCAATTCATTGATTAAAACGTACCTTAACTAACTATTCGATGTAAATATATATTTTTAAAAACAATATTGGCTAAATTCAATCATTTTTGAATTATAAAAATAGTTTTGTTTTGTTATAATTTATTTTTGTTAATCAAGAGTATAATGTCTCATTTGCAAAATTGATAGGTGCAAAAAAGAAATAATACAAAAAAATACAATAAATTTGAATATAAAATGAAACAAAATTAAAATAGAATAAAATAGTAACAGTATAAAAATAGTGAAAATATTATATTAACTAATCAATGTAAAAAAAGTTTTTAAAAACAATATTAAATTATAAATACTAAATTCTGTACGCGGAACATTTAATCATCCTTTAACTATAAATATAGTACAATTTTTATATTGAATATAATAGTATAAAATATTAATCATGTTTCTTACACCAAAAGTAACAAAAACGTATTTAGGAACAATATTGGTTAAGTTCTTAAAACAGAATACTTAATCTATTTTTAAAGTATAAAAGTAGTAATTCTTGTATTAAATATAATAGTATTGAATATCAGAACGTATTTCCTACACCAAAAGTATAAAAAACGCATTAAGAAACAATATGTTTGAACTCTTAAAACTGAATATTTAATCATGTTTTCAATATAAAAATAGTGAAATTTGAAATAATGAAAGAATAATGTTCTATCAATTTATAAGTTATTAAAACATATTTTGAATATCTACAAGTAAAAAAAAAATGTTTTAAGATAATTATTGAGTAAATTCTGTGAACAAATTTTTAAAATATATGAACAGTGAAATTGTGGTAATGTTTTTTAATTATTTTTAGAGAAAACTCTGCGTAATAAATTATAGTACTTTCTTTTGAAAATCCTGTTTAACGGAAATTTGTTTCAAATTGAATTAAATTCATTTTAATAATATGAAATAAATTTAATTTTTCGTTTAGAATTTGAGTAAATATTAAAGAAAAATTTAAGCAATATAGTAATTCGATTACTAGGTTCAATATATTACATAAACAGATTCAAAGTTATGCTAATATTCTTTAGTTAATTCACTAATTCACTAATTTTGACTATATTCAGTTTTAGATTTGAAAAAAAGATTTTTCAGTCACATTACTAATTATTAAATTTTT